GGGGGGGGGGGGGGGGGGGGGGGGGGGAGAGGAGGAGCAGGCTCAGGGTCAAGGGGGGGACAGGACCACCCACTCCCCCCTCCCCTTGCCACTGCCACATTGGGCCAGGCCCACTGCTCCCTCTACCACCACAGCAGCCCAGCTTCTCCACCCCTTCTTGAGCCCCATCCTCCCCCACACACCCCTGCATCAGACCCAGACCAGAGCCCACACCTCCCATCCCCCCACTGCCTGGGCCTGCTTCTGTCTCCCCACCCCCCACCACGAGGGTCCCACTCCTCCCCCCCACCCCCATGCCAGGTCCAGGCCCACTTCACCCCATGGCACTACCAACTCCAAGGAGCATGATATGAGACTTCAAAAACAAGAAGTTAAAAGGCAATCCCTTGATCATGCAGTTAGGAATTACAATGTAAGAGACAAAGTTTAAGGTATTTAATAGAATCACAAAAAGTAGGGTTGCAAGGAATCTCACTCAGGAGGTCATCTAGTCCAAACCCATGCTCCAAGCAGGATCATCCCTGACTAAACCATCTTGGTCTAGCACTCATCTAACCCAGGCCTCTCCCAATTTCTAAGTCCCCAGGGGCCACATATCCCATGGGCTGCACCAGTGGAGGCTACATGCAGCACAGGCTGCACCAGATGAGTCACAGGTGATGGCAGCCAGCACTCCTGCAGCCAGAGTGATGGCAGAACACCAAGTTAGGGGCCACAACTTAACCTCTTATGGGCCACATATGGCCTACAGGCCCACCAGTTCAACTGCCCTGGTATCATCTACTCTTAAAAAATTTCCAAGGAGGCAGATTCCACAGCCTCTTTCTGTACTCCCTTCCAATGCTTAATTAACCCCATCACACCAATAAAAATTTCTCCTAATATCCCCCTAACCTTCCCCCCTTCAAACTGAAATTATTCCTCCTAGTCCTGTCCCCTGCATATTTAGATATACTTACCTAAAACCTTTATGGTGAAGTTCTGGAGGAAGGGTAGTGGGTAGAAACAGTTCAAAATAGGTGATGGCCTTTTGCATGGTAACATCAAATGGACACATTAAAGGTCTCCACTCATCTAGCATTTCTGCAGTGGCATTCTCTGGAAAATACCTAAAAAGGAGGAAAAGTCTAAAATGATACACACTCAGAAAAAATCACTGTGTAGTCAGTGTTTTCTCGAGGGGTGGAAGATTGCCATGAAATTAAATTTTACAGTAGGTCATGTACTCACATGCTACAGTCAATAATTACTTATTACAAAGAACAATATCAGAACCAAACCAGTAATTCACAAAAACAAGAATTAAACTAAAGGATATGACAATTCAAGATTGGAACCATAGATTTTTTTTTTTTAAAAACTGCACCTGTAATCAACTCCCCCTGATTCATGTTACACCTAAAAGCTCAAAAACCCTCATAAAGAAGAACCGTCTTCAGGTAAAGACTGTGAGAGACAATTCATTACATTTCCCTGAATCCAAGACTACTTCAAATTTAAGACAGCTTCCAAATAATTAGATTTTATAAATTTGTTAAAATTGTACATTAAGGAATCTAATTTGGAGAGTCATCTTTAATTTGTAGGGCCATCTCTAATTTGGAGAGTCTTCCCCCACCACCACTGAAATGGGGAAACAGAGGCAGAAGAACAACCAACATGAAAAGGGACAGGCAGCTTATACCCTACCTATTGTCTCCCCCTTGTTCCTGCCCCTTTTGGCTGCTGCTTACCCTATGCAGTGGCTCTGGCTCAGCCCATGCACATGAAGGCCAGAGCTGGAGCCACAGCAGTTCCCATGCATTCTCCCATTCCAGGGGTGGGTTAGAGCTGGAGCAGCCACCTGCTCCGAGCAGTATTCAAACACAAGGTGAGGTTCCCCACCTTCTTCTCCTGTGTTGAATAGAGGGCACATGAAAGAAAAAAAAATTCTCTTGGATTCAAGTAAATAAGCTAACTCCTAATGGCATTTGAGACCTTAGCTAAACGAGAGAAAAGGTCCCAATTCCTTAGAATAAAGCATACTGCTTTTCTGAAAGACAGTCACTCCAGAATTCTTTATCTTCTTTAGGGAGCTGTGCACACATAAAAAGCTAGTGTGTTGCACCACGAGAATATGGAATTACTTGTACAAAAAGTTACTACAGTTGAAATACAACAAATTAAAAAAATCATGCTATTAGTTCTTCCAACCTCACCCTTAGGTTGAGACATGGCTTTTAGCCTCTAAATTAGCATCCACTTCTAGGACAGCAGAACTAGGAAGCAAACATCTCTCTCAGGTACAAAGGGAATAAGTGAAAAATTAAATTTAGTGATGCTGGCTAAAAGGAAATAATAAAAACCATTATGCAGTTGCATTCCTTTAAAACTAATGAAGGTACCTTCATATTGATTTAAAATGATGAAATAAAAAGTCCTTTATATTACACAGATCACATTTGAAAGATCTCTCTCAGTTAAGATTTGCATTTGAACAGAGACACTCAACCTCTGACCCACAGGCCAAGTTATGCCCATAAAACTATTGAGTCTGGCCCACAGGGTCAGGAAATTTGGTGGTGGGGGAGTGGAAGCTATAATACAGCTAGCCCCCTCCCCTGCCAAATTTCCAAATCCCAAATGCCACACACCTGGTCAGAGCCAGACCGTGCCTCCTCCTCCTACCCAGAAGGCCAGGCTGCAACCCCCCTTCCCCTAGGCTGGGGCCAGGCTGGGCCACACCACTTCACCGCCCCCCACCCCAAGCTAGATCACATTTCCCTCCCCATGGGGCCAGGTGAAACCCCCTTTTCTCCCTTGGGGGTTGGGCTCAGGCTGCTGCCTACCCCCCTTCATGTGGCTGGATAGTAGCCACCAGGCTGGCCCTGGACACTGGATCGGAACCTCCATCTGGCCCACAGTCAGACCAGAGACTGCCCATCCAGCCTGCCAGGAAAAAGGTTGAGTACTAGGGTTGTGCAAAGCTTCAGTCCCCGATTCCATTCAGCGGAGATTTGGCCTGATTTGGCGGCCAAATCTCCGAACTGAATCAGAAGACCCTTTAATGTATCTGAATCAAACTGATTCGGAGAGATTCGGAAAGATTCGACAATTCAGGGAGACACAACTTTAAATGTTTTTTCTACATACCTCGAGGTAGCGTGAATGCTGCGATACTGGGGCAGGTGGAGTGTCCCATATGAGTGCAGGGGGCTCCCCAGCGCGCTTCACGGCAGACTCGAAAGTGGACCAGACGTACTTCCGTTCCACTTCTGGGTCTGCCCAGAACCTCAATGGGGGGCCCCCCCGTGCCTCCTGGCTTGGCGACTGGTACCTCCTGGGTCTGGAAGGCACCTGGGGTCCCCCTGAAGCCAATCGCCAAGCCGCAGGGGGGCCCCCTGCGCGCTCAGCACCGCACCTGGAAGTGGACCAGAAGTGCTCTTGTGGGATGCTCCATCCGCCCCAGCATTGCAGCGTTCATAAACCACGCCTGGTACCTCAAGGTATGTAGGAAAAAAAACAAACAAACAACACTTAAAACTGTGTCTATGGCCGAATCACTGATTCTCCAAAATCAGTGTCAAATCTTCAGATTTGGATTCAGCTGAATCAAAAATCGGGGACAGTGATCCAAATCAATAAATCACATCACTGTCCCGGATTCAGGCGTAATCCAAATCGAATACAGCCCATTTTGCACACCCCTGTTGAGCACTACTGCATTAGAACAAAGGCTTTTATCAAATACAAACTACTAAAAATAGTTTCCTTTTCAAAACCGTCTCCAAATGCTAAGGATTATGCTGGCAAAGGAGGGAGAAAAGAAATGTGAAACCTTATGCTTTTTAGTTCAGACACCACAATCCCAAAGAAATTAGTGTGTTACGGGGAAAGAATATTTAAAGTATGCATAAAAGTTGGAAAGCAGTTCAAATACTTACGGCCGACAGCTTTTAACAAGTGTTTTCAGGACACTTTCTACAGAACTGAAACAAAAAAGAAAGAGGTTATTGGAGAATTACGTTAGTGTATTTCAAGTACAGCATATAATTAAGACAGTCATCATATGATTGTTTTAAGTCCAAGATGATATAGATGCAATTAGACACCATCTGTGAACATGCAGTAGCTAATCCTTTTCTTCTGCATGGATCTAATCACAACGATTAAAGCTGCTTTACTAAACCCCTAATTCTACACCTTGTTCCATTCCAATATCCACTATATCTCAACAAAAAGTTAAAAATTAATATAATTATTAAACAGTTATATCTTGCACTCTATTGTAGATTAACAAGCAGAATCATCATAGCTTTTTTTGTAGAAACTTGAAACATTAATAGGAAAGAAGTGGCATTTATTATAGAAGAGAAAGTTTCAAGACAAATCAAGTCAATTTATTTCGGTAAATTTTAGCTTAGACTCCTAATTCTAAAACCCTGGGAAGACAGGGAAAGGTGTTTGCATGAATGTGTATATATTCCTAACTAAATAAAGTGAATTACCTATAACTGACTAGTTGTTTTACCAGCTTCCTAACACAATAACTTACTGAACAAGTTCTCCTAATGACAGGAAGCAAAACTTTTTACCTTTGGAGTTGACAACTGTTCTACTATAATTCTTAAGTGAAACTTCACACGTGGCAACACCAAATACCTTCAAACCAGATCTCATACACATAGTAAGTTTGTTAAAAAAGAAGACGACATCTTAAATACCCATGACATTGTAAAGGGCAATTTCACATTTTAAACAGCCTTGTAATGAGCAATACTTTGTAATGAATACAAAATGGTAGCTCACATTTCACCAGATTCCCTGAAGAAAAAGATTACACAGAGGTTAGATCATCATTGTTATTTTAGCTGTAGCTTACACACTGCTTAAAAAGAAACACTCTACATCCCTCACCACAGCAACAAAAGAAGAGACAACACAGAACCAAAGCCTTCATCAGGATATAAGGAAGAAAGGCTGACTGCTCTCCAAATCAAATGTTGAAATCCAGTTATAATTATTTTCTATCCTGGCCACGTGCATACTATGCCTTACTTTTCAGCCATCCCACAAAGGGAATAGATTCCACATAAAAAGACTGTGAATACATCAGGCACCCCACTCTGCCCTCCAGAGGAGCCTCTGAACTATCTATCAACCCTTCAACTTTACCACAGAATTAATTGCAAACCAGCATTCTCTTATCCTCCCCCACAACACTACTTCAATTGAAGAAGTGCTTTATAAAAGACATTTTTGCAGTCCTTACCCAGCACTAACAAAATAAATTAAAAGAAAAAAAGGGAAATCAAATTTCTTCCAAGGGAAGCCGTCAGCCTTCTAAAATGGTGTAAAACTGCAAGCAAAAGTGCCAAACACCTGTTGCAAATAATGAAGTTATGTGCAATTCTCAAATACTAGTAATACAGAGCCACAAAAGATTTGGAGGGGAGGGGGAAAAAAGAAAAATAGAGTAATGTTAAAAAAAAATTCCTGAATAATTAAATTATTGGAAAACCTAGTACATTTCATTGCATGAAACAGAAAAGAAAAAGAGCTGGGTCAGCAGCAGTCTGGCAGGCTGTAATACTAAAAGCTGTTGAAATTTGACATGAATGGTCTTTCAAGTTGTGCGGAATAAAAAAAGTCACCATATTCTACTCAAACATGAAATGCAAAGGAGAATTTGGAGAACTGGGAGGGAGGGAAGGAGGTTAAAACTGACAGTTTCTGATACAAGAGATGAGATCGGTCTTTCCACTCCACTAAATTTTCAATACTATTTAAAGCAGATCTTCAGATTCACAACGCAAACTAAAAATAATTGACTAAAAGACAGCAAATATGATTTTGTCAAAATAAAGGATAGGTGAAAGCCCATTATCCAGTTTAACTATAAGTCAATGAACACAGATTTTGAGATTCTAGCTTAACTACCTACCTGTCAGAAGCAAGACAGGGTAGTACAGCTGGAAAGTAAAACTCAGTCTTAGGGGTATTAGTTACTGTCTTTGCTACTGATTTGAATGAACTGTCTTAAGTCTCTTAAGCAGTGGCTTTTGCTCATTTTTGCACTAGTTTAGATTCCTATCTTATACTGCCTGTTACCTTTATAAAAATCTCTAGTTTTCTAAATCTCAATGAACATTCTTTCACTTAAAGTTACCTGGCCCTCCTGGTTAACTACAGACAGACATACTAGGTTATTAGCAGTCTTGTCATACAGCTACATTTAAAACAAACAAAAGTTACAAAAACCTGCCCAAGAACAGAGTTAAGTATTATGAGGCTTATTTTCTTCATATGTAAGAGGGTTTGTCCTAGCTAACCTGGAACACCTTCAATAACACTCTGAATACAGAGCATGTACAGTATCTTAAAATATACAAATCAGTAAGAACTAAAATACTGACACACAACACTAAAGATCAAAAACAGAGTAGAATGCACAAATGTCACAATATCCACTCATGAAAAAAATCATGCTGCAGTAAATGACATTCTAGCCATCCAATAAAATGTTTTGCTCTAAAAGCTTATACAGAAATAATGAGCAACCAGCCACAGCTTCAAACTGCATTATTCCACCCAAAGTGTGCCAAAATTAACTTTTACAATCCAATATTGTACATGGATGTTACAACTAAACATATACTTTTTTAGAATAGTTTGATAGTTTATAGGGTTGGAAGGGACCTGAGCAGATCATCAAGTCCAACCCCCTGCCATAGCAGGAAGAAGTACTGGGGTCAAGGCAAGGTTTTAAGTCTAGCCTCCTCTTAAAGATCCCCAGGGTAGGAGCCAGCACCACTTCCCTTGGAAGTTGGTTCCAGATCCTAGCCGCCCTGACAGTGAAGTAGCCCCTCCTGATGTCTAGTCTGAATCTACCCTCTGCCAGCTTGTGACCGTTATTCCTAATTACTCCTGGTAGTGCAAGGGGGAACAGGGACTCCCCGAATGCCTGCTGGTCCCCTCTGACTAGTTTGTAACAGGCCACTAGATCCACCCCCCAGCCTTCTCTTGTGGAGGCTGAACAGGTTCAGGTTCCTTAGCCTCTCCTTGTAGGACCTGCCCTGCTGCCCCCTGATCATGCATGTTTGTATACTAAAATATCTTTCTAAATATCATCCTAATTTTCTACTTATATTTCTACATGTTCATAAGCCAGCTTTAAAAAAAGAAAGAGTTTCCACTTGGCAAAAATCCACTGTAGTCAAAACCCTCCAGTTACTGGTAAAACTCATTTCATACTAAGCTTGCTACTAGAATTTGTTACTTAAGGGGTTTCTTGTTCTTCTATTTGCTCTCAATATTTTGTAGTAAAGTAAGCGACATGCATTTCTAATACTATATAAATATGCATTTTGTCCATAATTCAAGTTACCATTTACTGAAAACAGATTTTACCCTAGCATTTCACCATTTGAAATATATTTGTTGGTTAAAGTAATTAGCACATAGCCATTGTATCAGCCACTTCACACATGGTATGTTGTTCCACAATTAGAAAGGTTTAAATACAGTGCGACATTCTCATAAACAGTGGTGTAATGTTAACATTGATTTTCCAAAACAATTAATTTATGCAAAAAAAAATTACACCTGCGTGACAAGTGTTACAGTCTAACAAAACATGCAGAAGATAACACATCGGCCAGAGCTGAACAGAAAATGTCCTTACCACCTATGTAAAACATTAAGCACAAATGTTTTAGGTGAAGACAAGCCTGGTCGATATGAACTGAATGCAAGAAAAGAGAGATTTAAATGTGAAATGGAATACAACATTTACATCAACCACTACATCATAAGATTAACCTGACAATATTTAAATAATTATCCTTTCACATTCAGCAAAAGGAACTCATTCAATTTGAGCATCAATGTTGCAAAAAGAACACTATATGAGAACACATCGCACTGCATAACAAGATCCTGAAAGCTTCAAATATAATCAATCCCAAATAATGTTTTCATCTATACCATCTCCATTTGGATCTTATAATTCATTTCCCCTGCCCACCACACCAATTTGTGTCCCGTTATTTCTTTCATGACAAATGTTAAACTAAATAAAAAGATCCTACAGGGCAAAACACATGACAGCAGTTTCAACAGAATGTGACATGAGTAAGATAAAGCAACCAACCACGCAAAAAAGTGTTTTCTTCTGATCGCTCAGTTACTAATAACACTTACATAAGTTTCCGAGAGGAAAGTGTGATTTTTTAATTTGACTGTATTCTTTAACAGAATTGTATCACAATCAAAAGAAGAGCTCAGCAGCAAAGGTTTTCCTAACATAACCACAGCCCTAACTTGGTTGTTTTCTGGTCAAGACACTTAACAGGGATGCAGGATTTTACTAAAGAAATGAAACAAATGTGCAACACTTTTAAGTGTAGCTGGTCCGAAAACCTGTTTTTCCTCCGAAAATGTTAAATACAATATTTCCACTCAAATTCTCAGGACAAAGGTTCAATTCAAACAGAAGTATTCATTGTTTTGATTCTTGAAAGCATGAAGGTTTTAAATAAAATAGAAAAAGTGGAAGTGAAGGGGAAGAAAAACTCAAATTTTTCAGTTTTGCCACTAGATACAGTAAATGAATCTCTCAATTTCTTCACTTTTTCCTTTAACCTTCCAGAGCTGAAGAATTTTTGAAAGGTAGAATGGGATAAGGTAAACATAGTAACTATGCCATTCAATGACTTTTCACAGCTTGATTTTATAGCATCTCTCACAAAAGCATGGGGCTCTCTCAACAGCAGCCCCAACTCTCTGAAAAATTCAACGAGCTCTGCTCATAAGTGGTACCAGACAAGACAATAAGGGGAATCCAACAGACTGAGCAGGGATGAGTAGGCAATTAAGAAAATTAAACAAAGGAAGCTATGAATCTTTACCTGACAAAAAGCAGTAAGTTAAAGAGATAACCAAGATACCATGAACAAAGATGTGACAACAAGGCTTTTGTTTATTACCTGGTATAATCCTTTAGTAGTGCACTAATAAATTCACAGTCCTTTTGGTTCTTATTGTAAATAGACTGTATAGTAAAAATTCAGGATTCCTGGGCTATGAATCAGGATTGCTTTGTAATTTGACTGGCAATAGCCAATATGTATTGCATACACCAATGTCCCTACAAAGTCCTATATCCAGATTTCACTCATTCTATAGTGGCTTTATGCAAAGGCAATATGCAGGTTACAGGCTGCTTCCATGCCCCCTCTAAAAATAAGCGTCTTTAGAAACATTTTATTAAACTTTGAATAACTAGATTTACCTACATATTAGCATTCTGGAGGTCTAAATTCTGATATATAATCATCTTCACATAAAGTACTTTCTTGTGCATACCATATTTTCTTCCATATAGCATACCCTATATATATATATATATATATATATTACACACTATGATTTGGAAAGGGAGCCTGAAGACAGAGAGATCCTTGCTAGGGAGCCAAGCCTGCTCCCAGCCCCACACACTGGATGGGGTCAGTATGCCAGGTCTGGGTCCAGCACAGGCCGAGAGCCACATCAGGTAGGACCCAGAACACCAAATCCAGAACCACCTGGCTGGCTCCAGACCTACATGCCGAGTCAGACAGCCCCCCAAAGTCTAGGATTGCATGCTGGGTCTGACCCCATGTACTGGCTCTAAAGTCACATGCCAGATCTGACCCAGCACAAAGCCTCAGTATCAGCATGCTGGGTTCAAGTCACCAAGTGGCTCTGAAGCTAATGCCTAGGGTTGGACCCAGTGCATCAGGTCCAGCTACATATCAGCCCCACACCCTCGCCCAATCCAGCGCACAGCTGGGGAGGTGTAGGATGACTCCCCAAGGATCTGGAAATTTGGCAGCAGGGAAAGGATGGACATGTGGGGATGGCTTTTCGCCAAAAGCCAGCTGGGGAAAATTGGAGTGTGCATTATATGTAGAGAAACGGTGTAGGTTATATGGAAGAAAATACACTATATCCACTATTATATAGAAGTGATTACATTTTCATGTGTATTGGGTATATGCGTACCAAGGAACTCATTATTTGTTTTGCTAAATCTCACTGTGGAATTAAGAGGATGTTATTATTTTGACTATAGCATCAGATCTAACAATTTAGTTTCCTAATAGAAATGGTGGAAGACTCATCCTGTGATGTACTTAGGAAAACTTGAAAAAGTATATGAAAAATAAAGACACATGGAGAAAAACTATGAACTGACAGAGGAATGTATTATGATTATCCAACATTTTTTTTTAACTTAACTGCCAAACACCAAAATATTTGCTCATTTACTATACATCTACTTCTAAAACATAAAAAACAAAATTTGAAACCTCACTTGACAAAATTCTAAAGACTACAAAGCCAAAATAAATGCTTCAAAATAAAGTGAACCTTACTTAGGAAACCAATTTAATCCAAGGTGTTCAGTTTTGGAATACAGTATCCTCTCCAACATTTCATAAAGTGGTCTCCATGGTAATTCCAAATCATCTCTTGAGAGAAGTTCTTTTTTCCTAATTTAAGACAATAAAAGTGCACTTTAGGATTAAACTTTATCCATGCCAGCATGAATCACATCAGAATACCTAGGAACTGAAAAACAGAAAGCTGACTTCGACATCTATTTTTAGCTATTTCCTTCTAATTCCACTTCAATGCCAATTTATTATCTACAAACCATTCATTTAAACGCATTCCTTATAGATGTAAGACATGTTACAGAGCTTTCAGAAAGTTTAGCCAAGTAATACAACTCGCTGGGCATGGCTACACACGCAATTAATGTGAAGCAACAACCTCCAGGCTTCTTGCCCCAGAGTTTAATGCTCCTGAGCGCGCTGTTTCAACATGCATCCAGTAGCAATACACTCTGGAGTTTACTGCTGTTAGAAGGTGTGTTCGAGACCGCACTATGAACCACCTGCCAGCCTGGGGCCGCTCCCCCAAGCTCAGCATGCTGTGGAGGGACTGTCTGGGGGACAAAGGTGCTTCAGTGATGGACCAGGCAGCAAGCAGCCCCTGCACTGAAGCAACCTCATGCCCCAGCCAGATGTGGCAGCATTTACAGGTTTTTTCACTCCACAGCAAGGTAGTACTTGTATTTAACAAGTACTATCCTGCTACAGAGTAAATTAGTTTACTCCAGCTTAATAGGGGAATACGTGTAGATGCTGAGACGTTTATTGAGCAACAATTAGTCTACTGCAGGGGTTTTCAACCTTTTTTAATAAGCTTATCCCTGGCGGCCAGACTCAGAGCAGGGGGGAGGGAGGGGGCTGGCACGCAGCTGGATGTGAAGTGGTGGCATTATGGGGTACTGCCCGCCACGTGTAAGCTTCCCCACCCCATGTCCAGCCACTTGGGGGGGGGGGG